ATAGTTAGGGATTGTTTCTTTTTCAGCAACAATCTTAAAACGTCATCAATGCTTACCTTTCCTTTCATAAGACTAGTGGGATTTCCAGTAAATAAACCAGTGAGAATCCCAGATGGTTTTCCTTTCTGAGAATTACTTGAACTAATGTTGCCAGATGGTGAAATGTCATTGTCAACTGGTGTTGATGCACCAGACTTTTTGCCAGGTTTCTAAATGAAAATTCAAGAATAGACTATTAAACTACAAAACTACGTAGAGGAATTAGATTGTAGACACTAAATCTCTGAACATAAACTTATCGGAATCATACCACTTGAAATATGGCATTTTGGTCCTCTTCAGGTACTTGTAGTACAAAAGGGGGCAAAAGAGACAGAATTCAAATCCTCTGATCTCCATTTACCTTTTCTTCACCTTCCCTCTCATCTTGTTCTTCTTTCTTCTTACCAAAAGATGGTGTTCTTGATATGGGATGCTCAGGTTGTCCTCGTGATTCAAAGTTCTTCGACAGATCTTTGACTCTTTTATCCACATTGGAATGATCTAATTGATTCATAGAGAAATTTGTCTTACAAGGAAAATACACCACTGAGAATCTTCTTGTTTAAAACACAGTCATACCAACAGTTACCAACAGTCATTTACACATGTACAATTTTAACAAGCCCTGACCCTGACATACCTCGAAAATGAAGTATACTCCCACTCAAGGGAAATGTTTCAAATGCTAGAGGAAGTGGAGTGTTGGATGTGTCCAAAAACAAGGAATGACTTTCAAAAGTAATATTGTATTTCTCTAGGATTGGTTCCAGTGAATCCCTTGGAAATGACAAAAATTATCATCAGATAATTGACTATATTTTGACTAACAATTGGAGTCACTGGACTACTTCTTTCTCAACCAATTTTGCCTCCTTTACTTCTCCTCTTCTCCTCTCTCTTCTCTGATCTCCATTCAATTTACTGAGCCTCCTGTCCCACTCTCTAACCTAGTACCATTTAGAGGCCCTCTTCACTTACTTTAGTGTTTTTCCTTTCAATGCAGGGATCAACTCGAGACTGGAATCTCCATTTGATCCTGTGTAAATCTTTATACTGATAACCTCTCTTGCAGGATCCTAGTATTGTGGATAATAGCCAAGATCAGATAAGAGAATATTATTTGCCATATAAAGACTTCATATATGGTCCTAATAACTTAAGTTATAAGTAAATAAAAAGCAGTTGTCTACGTACATCTGTGTTGTGTCTTCTAGGTTTCTTTTTTGAATTATCTGTTGTGAGCTTCATGAACTTTCTTCTACTTGAGTGAGCTTTGCTTTTTGATTTTTCTCTACATTTGTAGCATTGAAAACAGGAAATATGAGGAAAAGGTTTTGAGCAAGACTATATTGATGTTGATTCTGAAGGATAACAACAATAACAATGAATAATAACATACGTATATACAGGAGCAATGTCATCTTCCGCACCAGAATCCGATTCTGCTATTTTACTTGAGGACATTTTTTCAAAGCCTTCATTTCCTAAAAAATGAAATACCATCAATAAAGGTTCCATTGGAAATTACACTTAATAGAAGTTCAAATGCATTTGTCAACTTCTCTTCGAAAAATCACATTCATACCTTTTATCTCAAAACGTGCATGAGTCTTTGATACTCCAGCATGGGTCACTCTATCACAATCTTGGCAGAGTAAAAGAGGCTGTCCATTGTTTGAACTTTGACAGTCCTTATGATGGCATACCTATAATAAACACAACACATTACTCAGACAGTTAGTAATGCACCTGGGTGCATTTGCAACCACTAATAATCAATTTCTGCACTACCACTATCACACTGCAACATAATAATGTATCTGATAATTGAATGATATGACTGGCTCTCCTAACAGTCCTAGAATAAAGTGGTATGAATCTGACAAACCTTCAGAGCTATACTCTTCCCCGTAAAATTCTTGCACAATCTTCCCTGACATAAGGGTAATCCTACAGAATAAAATAAGAAACATGATACCTTGTACTGTCAGATCCAACAATAGCAGAAAGCATTGTACCTATAGTATTAATGTACCAGTAACCTATTATATCAAAACAGATATGATTAGCAAGTGCCAAGTAAGTACAGATATGAAAGGTAAATGCTCATACGACAATTTATATCTTCTAGACTATGTGGAATTTAAACAATTTTGAAACTGACAGCAAAATACAAATGCCTTGTATTATATTACATATTTAAATACACCACAACTGACTTCAATAATCTAACCATTCCTAACACTTCATGTCGCGCTAACAAGATATCTAATTTACACATTGACCATTACTGTCATTTTCAGAGCCTCTTGACATGACAGGATAATTTGATAAAATACTTTCAGCTCATAAAGCACCATTTCAGATATTAATAGGCATAGAAAATAACAGTAAACATGCATTAACAGCACTGCTTAATAACAACAAGTTGAAAAAATAAAAAATTAAAAGGCTATCAAACTATACTGTAATTCCTGCACACAACACAAACATCAATATTCAATAACTGTAAATTTAATAGTATAATCCATAAAAAGTTAATTTCACTCTATTGGGAAAGTGAATAGATTACTAACAAATTATTATAGTAGGATAGTTGACCATACTATAGAATGCCATGTTTCATAACTATTTTGAGAATTACAGCAAAAAATATGAAGTTGTGTACACAAAAAATGCAACCAAAGTTGATTTTGAAAACAACTAACCACTTGCTTCATCAAATTCATAGTCAAATCTCCAATGAAAGAATTTGGAGTTTCCAAGCTTTATAGACATTTAACCTGATAGGATATGAGATCTTGCCTTCTTCTACTGTATATTGATATAAAATATTGACCATCAAAAGCATGTGACACAACATGTACTATTTCAAAACAAATGTCTAGCCAGCGTAATCTGATACATTCGACGAAATAGGACATGCATTTTCTTAATTTCTCGCTACTTAACTCCAACAAAAATTCAATCAATGCATACTTTCTAGCAATGAGGATTTAACATCGCTTTGTCCGGCAAAGTAAACAATATACTACAATGGCTATTTAGTATTAGCTTTGATGCGGGGACATTTTTCTGCTAATCTCAAACCGCAGATTTATATTGACACTTTATTACGGTAGACTTCTCCTTAAAAGCATACTAAATCACACAAACTCGGAGAATATTTCATATATTTCGTTGTGGTTTTCGCACCACAAAGTGTCTCGCACAATATACGGTTTATTATCATGCAGATTTTTGGATTGAATCAATTATTTACATTCGCTTGCGCAAAACAATAAATATATTGCTGGTTCTATCGCAGAGATTTATATTTGCGATACATTTCTACCACAGATCGATCGAACCATTTCACGCAATCCTAACTAAAACATAACAATGTAATATTTGATACGGAAATCGCTTTAAAAGATCACATTTTAATCGTAAGTGGGAATACTTAAGCAATATTCGATGACTGGTGTACTGCGAGTTTCTTTCAAAGAATCAATTCGGAATTCGGATGAGATTGTGTCAAATATCGTACCCCCCATGCGATAATTGTGATAGATTTTGCAAGCGGATTTAACATACCAAAATACTTCGTTTATTATTTCTAAACGGAAAACCTGTTATTTGAAATTCTCCGCTTTTATTTACACTGGTTGTCGCTTGTTAAAGCTGGAAAACTCTGAAGCATGCTGTGCCAAGTTGCAAAGAATATAAACAATTATTATAATAACAAAAAATTCAACAGTGCATATTTCAAACTTGATTTGGATTCGAATGTACAAATTTCAATGTCTTTTTGACACTTAAACCGTGAGATCTTTGGTATTTTACAGTCAAACATAGTAAATAGCCTTATAGCCTCAATCTTGGCAATAACGGGATGGGAACTTGTATACAAAGCACTTCAAAGCAATTACAATATTATATGCTATTCTGCAATCTGCACTATTAAAATTGTCCCTGAAGGAATTCAAAATTCTGAATTATCGATACAAGTAGATTTTCACAAGTTATCTAACATAATTAAGCTAATATGGTATTATTTGAGCAAGGAGAGGAGGCTGTAAGATTAATGTAAGTAAATACGGTTTTATGACGCATACCTTCATGTGTCCTTTGCATTTAGAAAACATTCATATTTCAAAGTCAGCGTTCTTGAAGACTCTCCAGTACTATCTTAAACCATCATTCTTGAAATATTTCGTCGTACAGGAAGTTATTAAGTGAAATAATCCCCAACTTTCTTTAGCTCAACGTGAGATGACACAAGAAACAAAGGCTGTCTATCCCAAACGCGGACAATATGCTGCCGTCTTTAACAACACAAAACACGTCTACTACGCGGATTTTTAACACTCTCCAAAAACGTACCGGTGAAGCAATCCTTTGACATTAATACCACTTCTAATTGTTATCAAATTGCAACATTTCAAACAAGTTTAAAGGCAAAATTTCTCAAGATTTTAAGCCTCAAAGGAAAGCGAGCTTGACTTGACGGCGGCGGCTAGTGACGTTTAGTAACGACTTATTACCATAATAACAGAGTTGAACCAATCAGGAAATCCGTACAAGATATATCAATAAATATAGCTCGCGGGGAAAAACATCCGGTGCTGGGATAAACTCCCCGATCGGACGTAAAACTGCCATAAAGTGTTGGCCATAGTGCAGTATAAAACCCGCTGTTCCACTGTTAATTTTTTTCATTGGAACATCACAAGATCTAGATCCAATATTGAAACGAGATATTTCCCATTATTGTAGTTCCTAGTGCAAATCAGTCTTACTTGTGAATACCTTTCCAAATGATGTCAGTCAATTGATATAATCACCACGCCTATTTACCACTAATTACATATCAATATCGTCATACAATATCAATTAGAATTGTTTTAATGACCAATGACTGAAGCCATTAGAATAAATTGTTTGTGTGTACGTCAGTTTGTATATAACAGCCATGATAATTACTTTAAAAATATAATCATTTTATACTAGTTATTAATTAGCAGTTTCCCAGATACATTTTACAAACACATCTTATTCCTTTCTGCGATTAAAATGAATAATGTTCAGCTATCTATCTAATAGTGTCCGCTCAATTTTGACGGGATTGCTCCTGGAGGGGTACGATACAAAAAATCACCACACCACACCACACCCCATGATTGACAGGATTCATTCACTTTCACAGCTCATCTACTTCCAAATCTTGATGGCGCCATCGCGGGAAGCCGAGATGAGGAAATGTTGAGGATTGGTAACGAAAGCTAGATCTGTAATACAGTCATGGTGACCAGTCGGTGGTTTATCAGGACCACGCTTCGGAACGTCATCTTGTGGCGAGACTTGATTTGACTTGCAGTAGACCTCTCGTAAGACCTTTGTCCCATCATCAACCGAGAGCTTCAACACGAGGCAATAAATATATTCACTACATTTTCACGGGTTATAGTTGTATATTTGCTATAAACATTGCCCCCTTTTTCTTGGGGGGATACAGAATATCAAGAACAGAAAAATAAATTTGAAAAGACATACTTGTATTTCAATACGACGTCATTTAGATTATCAGAAGACGATCCTGCCACGATGTAAGAATCGTTTGGAGACTGTAAGTCCCAGAGACGAATACGTCTGTCAGAGCCCGCGGTGAGGATGAACTGACCAGTTTCGGGGGGACTGGCGTAAATTCCGTAAACAGCATGAGGTGAAACCTAAAGAAAAGTTTCGAAATTCACTTGTAGAGTAATGCTTCTCTGAGTAAACAAGAATCAACATGCGAGGTGTGACAGCCAATGATTGCATGGTAATCTCCTCCATGCATCATTCTTTTACCTGTGTCTGAGAGAGCGCTGGAGCATGACTTGCCCACAGAGATTCCTCACAAGCACCAGTCTCCAGGTTCCACACAGAAACCTCGTTATTTCCTTCAACAGAACAAGTCACCCAAGATGGCTTACACTGCAGCAATGGTGAGGCAGAAAGACGTCGTACTCGAGCACCTGAAATAATTATTGATCTGTCATGCATTGCTTGCTCGCAAGCCACAAGACGTGAAAGATATCATTTCCAAGCAATAGACTGACAATCAAACCTCTTGGATGAGTAAGTTTTGCAACAGGAAGTTGAAATCTCATATCCCAACAGACTAATTCACCATTACAAGTTCCAGCAGTTAGCCAGCATTGCGAGGGATCTACCACGAACGATGTTATCAAACCTGGAAAACAGATGCTCACGTCATGTTGCTTCTCTGGCCCTTCCAAATTAAGACCAATCAAAATCTGTCTAATAGACCAACAGCTATTTGCTTTACCTAAAGCAGGATCATTTTGTAATTTCCATATCGTTTTTGAAGTTCGTATATCCCAACCGTAGATCAAACCACGCACTGTTGCATAAGCTAGCACTGAATGAGACGCTTCAAGGTAAAGAAAAGTAAAGTATAAACCTTTCGCTGCGTATTCTAGTGTTTTACCGACCAACTATCGCTAGAAAGTACGATTTAACTTACTATATCAAATCGAGAAAAGTATTTTACTAATAGGATTACCATGAACAATAATTACCAGTATCAAACTGATGCATATCCACCAAATCACCGCCTTGTTCTGTATCCAATCTTGTATTCAGCTTAACAAGAGCTTTATACTGTGGACATTGAGATGATGTTGCGGCAGGTATGACCTCAGGACTATAGAAGCAAATGATTGAAAAGTGTTTTAATGGATATTCTCGCTGCAAACTATAACGGTTGTGTATTTAAGGATGACCTTTTAAGACAAAGAACAGGCTGAAAACTGAGCAGTTATACTTACTTTATGACATAAATGTCACCTTTGTCAGTTGCACATGCTAACGACTTTTTTCCTTGTAAAAATACTAAACCCTTGACCTTTCCACCTTTTAATACAAGTGAAGAATTATCAGTTAGTCCAATAAATTTTCAAGAACTAATCAGGGTTGGACAATACAATATCGTATCGTAGCATAACATAACATAACAGCTACTTCGTCAAGTTGGTACTAGCTGGGTTTACTTACGTGCTGCTGTTTCTCCTTGCTGAAGTTGATATGAAAAAGAAGACTTCACGACCATTCCCTCATTCTCCAAACGCTGAGCATCCCAGAGTTTTACTGTCCCGTCGTTAGATGCAGAGGCAAACAGGGACGTCTTGGGACAAACATGAAGTCTAGGGGGTAAATGGTTACAGTCATTAATTATCATCAACCAATCATAGAGATACGGATCTTTCACCGAATACAATTAATGGATTTAGTCCGAGACGTACTTGTTTACAGCAGCTCTGTGCTCGTGGAGATGAATTAATAAAGTTCCCTTTGGGCGTCTAAGAAATAAGGATTACAAAATATGAGAAAACTGGTAACACTTTTCTGGCTAAAGGTTGGTCTACTCCAAGCAATGCATAACAGAATGAAAAGATATCACATGTTCACCTTATTTGCCCCTTTTTATGAGTGTTCAGAACCTCTTCGATTAACTCCCTTGTTGTCACCTCTAAATACACAAAAAACAAACCTTTGGAAACGTTGCCTATGAAAGATCTTTACTCGGAAGAATTGCGTAGGATTTACGTAATCCTCTGCAGAACCAATAGTGTAACCTACTGTATAATAACACTGAACCAATGACACTGGACTGATCCTTAGAAGAAAGTTAAGATATGTCAGGTTTACCCTCGGCGTATTGTTCCCTTTTATGTTTAACCAAATCTCGTAGATTTCTTCTGTATCCTGGTGTAGGTCGTACTGGCTCCGGTTGCGATGGCTTCATGGTTTGTTTTGCTTTGCTCTTTGGCTGAGCGGGAGGTGTGCGAGAATGAGGGACTGGGCTAGCGTTTGTATCATCGCTGGAGGGAGATGAGTTCGTTCGTTGCTTGGGTTTCCCTGACTGTAGCAAAGACAATATCGACATATTAACATGGGATATTTTGCAGAGATTACTAGAAGAATTGTACGTGAGTTTAGAGCTGATTGTGATTTACCTGAGGCAATGAGACAGACCGTCCCAGGGTTTCTTTGGAGGAACAACTTCCCCATGACGAGGTTGTGACGGAGCATCAGTTGTCTGGTTTGTGTTGCCAAACATTTGATTCCATTCAGCATTCTAATAAAGATAATCAGGACAAATTGATAAAAGAACTTACATGCATTAATACATTAGAAACAATTAAGTTATTAATAAATGAATTAGAAGCACATCATTTCCAAACACGTACAAGTGGAGACTGATATTCTCGCTTCGTTTTTTTACATTTTTCGTATGCACTGTGGTGACGTCAGGCTTGGTCTCAGTCTTCACCACAAGCTCGGCGTGACGTCGTACGATACTGCTGCCTAATGTCTTCAAATCCACAACACCAGGTCCTAAAGGATCATCGTTATGGTCGCTATGTTCAGAAGCCTGAAAAAAGATTTCACATTAAAATTCAACTGCCTAAAGATATAAGCCTTTAAACTTCGGAACTTGATCAGAAAGAGAACCTTGAACCTTCCTGGTAGTTTGCAAGGAAAACGAAATTGACTTACGTGCTTTTTGAATGATGTATTTTCAAGATGACTGACTTAAGATGTATCAACATATCTTCTTGACGTTCGTTCATTCCCTGGGCAATCAACTTACGAAACATATGAGAAAGGTTGTCCTTCTCAAGTTTTGGATAATCAACTTTCTGCCCTTGTTTGTTCATTTGTCGCGTTATCTGGCGATCATGAAGGCTGGAAATGATTGAATATTGGCAGATTAAATATTGTCAGATTAAAAGTGAAGATTTTATGACTTCCAGTACAACTACATCCTACTACATCCTGCTATATCCTACTTTGTCCTAGAAGTAACTAGGTCTTCTAAAACTGGCTATTATCTCCCTTTGCTGATGTACGTGATATGTTATTGTTATCTATTGTTATCTTCCTATTATTTCAAGGTAGCACTGGACTAACCATGTATATATAGTCAACCATAGATGTCTTGCATTACCTGTCAAAAAATGCGTTCACATGTTGGGACCGTACGACAGAATCGAAAACGGAGCGCGACACAGGTTCCCTAAGAACACTGATCAACAACATGTCTCTTTCAGGCTGGACGATCTTTTCTTTAACAAATGGTCGCAATAGAGGAAGCAATTTACAATGAATATCAACAACACCAAGACTCCCAGCAACAGCAGTAACGAAACCAACAGCACCATAACGGACCCAAACATTCTATAAAAAACAATGAAATATTAATTGAAAGTCTTTGAAGTCTTTTAGCGCTAGACAAAGTGAAACAAAGTGAGGCTTAGTTTGCAGATATCATTTCTGTATCGTCTAGCAATGTCGTCGAGAAGAGACGATGCTGACTTACCGGATGACACAAGAAAACGACAATGTCGGCGGTAAAGTCGTAGAGAGTTGACTTCTGTAGTAAACCAAGTTCGGTGAGACAAGTCAGCGCATTTAACGCTTTGCAAATAACAAACTCTTCCATATCTGTGAGACCCTAGAAGAACCCAAACATGGAGAAATCGCAGTGGTACAGCGTGAGGATGTCTGTCTCACTCTGGGAAATCAGGCCAGGTAGAAAAATCAAGGAAGTGGTATTGGTATAGTATATATATCCAGACTTTCTAAAACAGTAAGTGTGAATCCAGTACCTGTTGTAGAAGAGGCTTCAGCATTGCCAGGCTTTGCCAGCCAACGTAAGACGCAACACCAACAATACTATCAAAGAATGCGGCTCGCAAATGCCAATCTTGTTTATCATTTAAGAAAGTAATCATATGAGAAAGAAGAACATCGTTTGCTTTCTGTCTTCCAAAAAACACACATAATCTTGTAATGCCTCTTTCTAGTAAAGTTTGCTTTACAATATTCTCGGAATCACTAAGAAGATTGACGACCTTTGTTTGAATGACTTCGTGCAATTCTTGAAGCTCAACATCGTAACTTCCCTATTTTGAAAAAAAGATAAGTGCATTGATAGAGTCGATTAGAAACAACAAATCCATCATCTTCTCTATCCATAATTCATTCACCTGGTATCTTAAACTTTGTTCAGTTCCTCCATCCTCACTATCCATATTGTTATATCTTAACTGAGCCATTTCTAGGAATTTCAGAGCAGTCTCTGCTATTGGTGCGATGTTCTCTGCGTAGGCTATACGCACTATCACCTCTCGATCATCAGGGAAGTTAGCCAGTGCCGGAAGTATGTATTCTGGGAAGATGTTTCCTTCGTTTGGTGGTAACATTTGTACAAGTTGTAATGTTTGTGTTAAGGTCCCTAGTGCCCGGGCTCTAACACGGGGTACAGTATCGTTGATGAGGTATAAAATATAGGGTACAACTCTCTCTAGTAACATCTCATCGCTAGCGTGATGTGCCAACTGTTGTAATAAATCAAGACACTTTAACTTGGAATCACAGTACTAAAAGCAGAAAATCATTATCAGTTGTGAAAAAGATCGTATTTTACACAAACTAAAAGGAATTTTAGAGTCACTTACAACACAATTTCTCACACTCGAAGTCACCAGGGAAATAATTAAAACAAGACTACCTGAAACACAACGATTACCACATTCAGTTTTTATCAAAACAGGGGGAAATGATTGACTGAATTATTTTCTATAATGGTTTCTTACTATGAATATTCTCTTCCTTATTTTCATTGCCAAGTTCATTTAGAATTAGAGAAATACAATCGGAAATTCTGAAAGAGATATTCCCTTAATAAATTTGAACTACTAAAATATGTACTTATAATAAATTTTGGCCACCAAATGTGCATGGATATAAGATTGTATAACCTTGCAATTTTCTCATCTGGAGTAAGAACAGGTAATGAGGCAAAGCGAACCATAAAACCACGTAGAAATTTGTAAAACTCTTCAGGAAAGAGACAGCCTGGAGATAAATGAAAAGATCAATATATAATTATATTAACCTCAGTAAAAACTGAAGGATTTGCAAACAATAAAAATATCTATGATCATATATTGGGTTTGATAAAACAACTGATATTTCTTTATAAGCTCAAGTCTGAAGCATTTAATGAACATACCTCGATATTTGTCAAGATACTCAGAGGCTTCACTTCTTTTGGCAGGATCCTTCGAAATCATTTCTGTTATCAATTCCTAGTAACAATTATTAACAAATAACAATTATTGATTAACCACACCTTGTTGCCATTCTATTCTCATCAGGTAAATTTTAACTTTATTTCTAATGTTTGGTATCACTGACAGTTGTCAATAAATGAAGAATACTCAACACTTCTTACCCTGACATGTTTGTCATCAATACTCTCCAACGCAGGAGCAGGATCAAAATCCCCACTGCGATACGCAAGTAATTTTGATAAATCAAATAATGGAGCACCTTCGCTAAACAACTCAGCTATGACACATCTAAAATGAATTGAATAAATAGCAAATGAAACCGAATCCTAGCCTAGATGTAATAATATCTCTTTATTTTACTAATCGTTGACAACTTTTCTTATATCAGTGCAAAAGGAAAATGTGTTACTAGTAAATAGGTTTATTACCCCAAGGAAAAAATATCCATTTTTGATGTCAATTCTGAGACATGATCTTTTATCAAGCCAATATCTAGTGAGTTATCTCCTGAAGAGGAAAGCTCTGAACTTGCAGCTGAGCTTGCTACGTCACTGGAACGAGTGTCCAGAAATCTCTCTGGCGCCAAGTAACATGTTCTTCTTCGTGATGTGTCAAAAAAGTATGAAAAGTCTGCAGGGTTGTCTTCTTGGAGAAATGTGGGTTTAAATGAAGCCAGGTCTGTTAAAAGTACAGATGTCCAGCTGGTCACCATGATATTCTCAGTTTTAATATCACCATGATATATCTAAAAATCAACAAAGTGGTTGGACAACTATTAGTGTTATAAGATACCACATATCCAGATAATGTCCATGCATATGATATATTCATTTTTATGCAATACCTGATTTTGATGACATTGCACAAGAGCAAACAACAGTTGAAATACAATCCATTTCTTCTCAAGTAGATTCAAAAATGGCCTTGTACTACAAGATAGAAAATAATGTATTTGCACATGCACAATTGAATTGTACAATGTAAATTTAAAGTTGTACAATGCCATTACTAAAAATGCCTTAACGATCTAATATCTATTAAGAATGGCTTTACCTTATCTTATCATACAGATTATCTTTGATATACTGTCGCACTAAAATGCCAGCTTTCTCTGTGACAATAATCTTTTGAAATGGTAGAATATATGGCACGGTTTGCAGAGTATCTGTGATTTCCTTGATGTGCTTGTAATACGTCTGTAGCGGTAACGATGGATCTTGAATGGCAAACACTTTTACAACACATAATCCTTCCCTAAAGATAGAATTCAAATGATGCAATCCTCAATCTTTTACAGAATGCATTTCTTTCAGATCACACTAAAGCTAACTCCAGCTGAGATTTCATTACATTACTTTCTATAGTAAATCTGGTGTATTTCCAGTATGCAGCAGACCTAAGATGCACAGTGGTACTATCTGTTCACAGAGGCAGAAATTAAAGTTCCACTTTGGACCTCAGGATATTAGTCATATCAGATCAATTTCATTACTAATATCATTATATTATTTTATAAGAATTAATTCAATCCATCCATCAGAGATCAGTCAGATCACACACACACACAAGTCAAAAATATTCTTCAGGAATATGCTAATATTCTTCTCTATATGATGTATTCATACCTATGCTTTGCTCTTGCAACTTTGAAAAACCTTGTACTTCCTAAGCTTTATGAGAAAGGATAAAAATACAATTAAATATATATTTATAGAAAGTACTGCCACAGTAAAAATACAAAGTTCAGATGCTGCTATTATATGCTTACCTTATATCATACTCATAATCTTTCAAATCACTGAAATAATGATCCACGCTTAATATTTGCGATGGGGCAATACTGGATAACTGGTTCCCCATTTTGCATTGTTATTTTCGTTTCTTTTTCTGCAATATGTCATTCCATTTCTTTCGTTCCTTTAGTTATCTTTCCGCTCAATACCAAAAAAATATAAACAGGGTACAAATTGGTACGTTAATCTTGAATTGTAGTTATGTACCATGTTTTATCCCATGATGTACACCTATATATAATTACCATTTTAATTGCAACAAATTATATATTAATTGCAACAAACGTAAACACAGTGACAATTGACAAAAATGTCATATTTTCCTACTAGATTTACTACAATTTTATATTTAGTTTTTCTACCTTACCTCGAAGCTGGATCATCGTTACATTTACAAACAGGATGTGAACAGGGCGATCTCAAAGTATTCCTTCTCGATGATTTGCTGAAAGGAGACGAGATTAAATGGTTAAATGGCTACCTCACAAAGCATAAACCATGGGTTTTAAATCAGAGAGATATTTACAAAGAACGTCATCTTGAAATGAACTCGAACACAACCTGGGTCTCTCCCATATCTAATGAGATACTCGAGGGCACCAGACTTTGGAGAGATCTCTCAACGATCTTAAAACAATTGACAGGAAATGAACAATTTGTGTGCTATGGAATGTTTACACTTGCATACAGATTAGATTTTAAACCTATTTCCAAAATATGTAAGTTTAAAGTCAACCTTATGTAAACTGCAGACGGCTGCAGCATGCATATCCAGTATTGGCAGTATTATTCCATGAATCGTCATTAAGTCTGTATATATATTTGAAATGGAAACTTTCCAAGTTGTAAGTTGCTTGAGTGCATATTATCTTCCATTCCTTCCAGCTGATGATGATTTAATGGTTCAGATATTTCTTAACCAGGATATGCGGAAAAATGATTATGGTGAGACACTTTTTTATGATGATGATCATGAAATTATGTGTGGCATTCATCAACAGCCTGGCCGTATTCTCATTTGGAATGGTAGCATAAACTATGTACTCAAACCACCTTCAATGCTCTATATGCAATCACAAAATTCCATAGTACTAAGGTTGACCAGTTCAGATGACAAATACAAAAGCTGCATGGAGCTTAACAAGGTTGGAACCATATCTCAATGTGTTTCTCCACAGTGTGTTTATATATCCACTTGTATTGCAGGGAATTACATTTTACTATCTGGCAAAGTTAATGAATTTTTTGTTTTTCTATAGGCAAACAAACAGGCAATACATAACTCCAAGCCACAAACATTTCCTTTTGTTAATGAAAATGATAAACTTGATTGTCTTCAAAGTGGTAGTATTAACTATGAAAAACATCTGACAAATAAATATTATGATTCGCATGGCCTTGAAATTGCAGTGTTTGATGATGTTCTGTCTGATCATGATCTACAAAGGTTAAGAGACTATTTAATAAATGATTATCATACTTTTGAATTTCAACCCTATGACAATGAACCAAGGGAGGACCATGATAATGTGGCATGGATCTCACCACAAAAGGTAGATATAAATCTAAAAATGCAATATAAAGCTTTTGTCATCCTAATTTGCATTCATTTTTGCCTTCATCAGATTATAAAGAATCATTTTCATTCTTTAGGCTGATGTTTTAGCCCAAAGTGGTGTTTGGAAAGTAGTTAAACAAGCTGCAACTTTTCTGAGTGGTTTAAATGAATGGTATCCTTATGATGTATCCATGAATATTGTGCACTCATTTCATCACACAAGAATTCATGAAGATTGTGAAGACTATGAGGTAACCAAACTCCTTCCATGCCCCTTTCCACCAAAGTTGTTCTATATCATCCAAAAACCTAATTATTGTATATATTTAATTACATTTAGCATGAATACACATTCTTACTGTATCTGAACAAAGATTTGAATGAGAACCAATATGGGGAGACGGTCTTCTTTGAGCGACTAAATAACGGTGGAGCTCCTGGAGAAGAAGAATATGAGATAATTGCAGCGGTGAAACCCCGTTATGGCCGTATTGTAATGTTTCGAGGCATTATACCCCATTCAGCTAGACCACCAAGTCCAGAGTTTGATGGTGCCAGATATACATTTGCATGCAAGGTAGGTAATTTTACCATGCCTAATTTACCATGATTATATGATAACAGAAACTCATTCATGTATATTTTCAAACAGGTCAGCAAGACATTTGGAAGTGCAAAATTAAAAAACCTTAGAGAAACTATTGAAGCTCTCAACGAGCTTGGGTTGGATGAGGATAACATTGAGTTTTCAGAAGAATTTGAAAAATATCAAGATGACGCACCAGACGATGTTGTCAACTCAGAGTTAATCAGAAAAAGAAAAACTTTAGAGGATCTTTTGGAGCAAAGCCAGGAATATTTTATAAATAAACTCTCATAAACAGTTTAATAACCACACGTCCAACGCACCTTCACCCCTAGGTATCCTAGGTATCCCAAAGTAGGTGTGTACCGCACCTTTTTTTAGACTTAATCCTAGTTCACACTTGTCTTAGGAATCGGGGATTGTTTTTGCTAGCAAAAAGAATCCCCTATTCCTAAGAAAAGGAGGCGGTAATCGGGGTGGGGTGGTAAGGCCCTCCCGCCCTCTAAACTCCAAACGCCCCGGTTCCTAGGCAACAAGCCAACAACAAAACATGGCGGACGAAACTTGTAAAACAGTTTTAAGACACGTTTGCGTCGTATAAAATGGTTAAAAATGGCTTTGAATCCCCTCGCTAATCCTAAAGGAGTTAAATTACTTTGTGAACTCTGTCAAAAACCGGCGTTTGAACAATGCACGCAGTGCAGAGTGACATACTATTGGTACGTAATTTATACGACGGTCTTTCATGTTCAGTATATACTTGCACCTGTAAAGCTTTCCTTTTATAAATAAACGATACGAATGCCTTTTAATTTAAATTCCATAATAAAACACTGCTATCGTCGTTCAATAGTTCTCCAGAGCATCAGAAAGCCGACTGGTTGGGTATCCATGAAAAGATATGTCAATTATTAATACCACTGCGTACTCCGATGCCTACACTTGGCTCTGAAGATGATCGTCAACATCGGAAAAATCAGCAGCTTATTAGACAGGTTGATAATTGAATATAAAGAAAATTGTGTTGTTCCACAGAAATCCTGATGAATTTGAGCAGTATTTTTATTAATTTCTGTATGAAGAGGTTATATTAGCCAGACATATTTGAGTGTCTAATAATTTGTTTATTCATCCTTCACACATAGAAACAAATGATAGAGTTATGTCGAACAACTGGTCAAAAGCTATTGTTTGAGGGAAAGTATGAAAGCGCTGTACCAGCTGCCTTGGCTGCATTAAAATTTGCAATCCAAGTGTATGGGCTGTCAAGTATTGAGTTAGTCCCTTCTTATCTCATTCTGGGAGAAGCAAGTATTGGTAAGAATCGCTTTATCACCTCCTTCTAGGCAGTACTACTGGTACATTTGACCAAAAACATGTAGCTTGTACTTAGCTTGTTTTTGTTTTTAAGGTCTAAACAAATTATCCCAGGCAAATGATTACTTATCCCAAGCGCAGTGGACTGTGTTGAAAACCCCAGAATGTGGAAATGAGGTCAAATCAAGATTGTATAGAAATCTTGGACTCTTGGAAGCTGCACGAAAAAACTATTTTCAAGCTTTAAGTCATTTATCTAATGATGTAAGATATATAATAATTAATTAAATAATAATAATAATTTTAAAATAATTTTCTTTCTAATCAAGAAATCATAAATAAGTTCTCCTGAAACAGAATGCCATACATAACTTCTGGAATTGTTTTTAGGTATACCATTCATCTTGTGCTTATGGTACTGACGATGTTCAAACATCTGGGGGTTATTTCCACATGGCAAATGTTTTCTACAGACAAAACAGGCTGGATGTGGCTTTCTCACTTTACAACCAGGTAGCCTAGCGTAATTAATAACCTTATTTTATGAACATTGTCTCCTTAATGAAAAGATCAAATCAATGCTCTCAGGCCTAAACTTATAGTTAATTTGTTTAGGTTATAGATATATGGAATAATTATTTAAGTTGCCTGGTGGATCAAAGAACGCACAAACCAGAAGTCCCCACCGGACTTATTGGACAGGTGATAAGTGGTGATGATGCAAATGATGTGGATATTCTAGGTTAGATTTGTGAAGTCCTAATATGCTTTGACTATAAGGCAAATATCTTGAATATATGAATGATCATTATGATGAAATTCAGCTGGCAGCGCAGAGGTTGTGTGTTACATACTGCATTTCTAATATTTTTAAGATGAAGCGCAAGAGGCAGAAGCAATTCAAGTTCTAAATGCAATCTTAGAACTACGTGAACAGCAGGCTGTTCAAAATGCATCCATAATGTGCAAGATTTACCACACTCTTTCCATGCTGCATTTTATTCTAAATGACTACAAACAGGTAAGATATAAACACAATTTCACCACAGTTGATAGGTTTTAACCTCCAGAACTGGTTGGTTGGAGTCAACCTGAAATAACTCTTGCTTTTCATTGACAGGCAGAGGAGTTTGTAAGCAAGGCAAAAATTGCATGTGAAAACATTGTATCTGGGGATCCTGAAATGGCAGCGAAGATTTTGGAGTTGTCAAAGGCAATTGAACATGCAGAAACATCAGCCTTGTGAAGCATGATTTATAAAAAATTTCAATAACTAAACAAGTGTTTATATACATACATGAAAAAAAATCATTTTAATATGTGAACATACCACTTTCATCCAGAAACTGGTAGTTTAGGTTGTAAGAGGCACTTTCCACATCTGCCATCTCGAGAGTTGGTACCATTGATTGGTACCTCCAGTTTGTAATGTATGAAAAAATGGTCAAATCACAAACCACAACATTTATTACAGTTAAACCTGAGTCAGAAACCTGGAATATACGAGTCCAGTATTATACTGCGGTCTGCGCGAGGTAATTAGTATGCGTGTCACCGAATACCCCCTTTGCCCCTGTTTATCCCGCATTCTTTGAAAACATAATAAGATTTAGTTTTTGAACCATCGAACTTTGGACACGTTTTATTTAAATTTTTAAATATTAATTTTATTTCAACTCAATACTGTGGCCTCGAATGATCAATAACTTTGTGCGCAACCATTATTTGTTCAATAAAGTGTCCTGACAGAAGCACATGCGACTAAAACTGAACTTTATAAATAACTAAAATAAGTGCATGTGAGTTTATCAATCCGAGCGTAATTACTCTGTGAAAGATGGTTTCACGAAGGACCGTTATACAGCAAGTCAGTGTTGATGAGCCGGAAGGTGCTTCACAAAACACATCACCAGACGAGAAAATACAACAAGACCGTGGAAGCATTGCATTGTTATTATTGCTGTATATTTTACAAGGCATTCCCCTGGGTCTTACAGGCAGTATTCCACTTATATTGCAAAGTAGGCATGTGGCTTACAAAGACCAAGCTATGTTTAGTTTTGCATTCTGGCCATTCAGCGTTAAGCTCTTGTGGGCACCTATAGTCGACTCTGTTTTCTCAAGGCGAATGGGTCGACGAAAATCTTGGCTTATACCAACACAGTATCTTATTGGTCTGTTCATGATTGTGTTATCATGGGTAAGTGAGGCCCAGTCTGGGGGGGGGTGTTGTGCTCCACATTGTTGGGTGTCACCAGTCATTACCAACTTCCAAGAATTCCTGAGTGCTCACAAAACAACACCTTAAAAGGGGTATCTCAGAAATGAAATTTAGGAAGCATCTCCTACTTGACATTGCCAGTTGCATGCAATTTGTAATTTAGACTAACTCTCAAAAACACTATTTGACTGATGTTTTTAATCCTTTTCCTTCACTCTAGGAAGCAGATACTTTGTTGGGTCATGACAGTAAAGATAGTCCAATTAATGTTTATAAACTAACAGCTTTATTTTTCTCCTTGTGTTTTCTGGCTGCAACACAAGATATTGCAACTGATGGCTGGGCACTAACCATGCTCTCATCAAGGAATGTTGGATATGCTTCAACCTGTAATTCAGTAGGGCAAACCGCTGGTTATTTCATGGGAAATCTTTGTTTTTTGGCATTAACATCTCCTGCACTGGCTAACAAATACCTTAGATCTACCCCCCAGGAAACTGGCATTATAAAAATATCTGAGTTCTTGTTGTGTTGGGGATTGATATTTGTTGTAACAACAACATTGGTCTGGATTTTCAAACATGAGAAAGACCTAAGAAATAATGAGGATGTTGTTAAACGTGATGTATCAGCTGCCTACAAGACTGCTTGGAAGATTGTCTGTTTACCAAATGTCCAGCAACTTATGATAATACTTTTCACTATTAAGGTAGTTGAATAACTTGAAATATTTTGCATCTTAGATAACAATGGATAAATAAAATTATCTTGCCATTCACAGAATAAAGTTAAAAGGAGCCAACCCACAGAGGAACTGAGCTGCTGTTTTGTATCCATAAAATACTGTTCTGTATTTCAGATGGGTTTTGCTGTCACAGATGCTGCAACTGGTCTCAAACTCATTGAAGCAGGAGTGCCAAAGGAAACACTGGCAATGTTGGCAGTCCCAATGATCCCAATACAAATCACGCTACCTTGGATAATTAGTCGATATGCTACCGGTATGGGGACATAGCATTCCAATCTTTTCAAACAAAATCAACAACTTGAAATATTCTATTTTTCCTTTCAGGGCCAAGACCTTTAGATATTTCCCTCAAAGCAATGCCTTTACGGTTGTTAATGTCTATTGTGTTTTGTTTATGTGTTTGGTGGGCACATCATGTACGTGCTCCTGGTGAACATGACTTTCCTACATATTTCTATATTGTCCTATTGTTATTCTATGCTTTACACCAGGTGAGGATACACTGTTAAAAGTAATGCAAACCCTTCACTCCGAATGCCTTTGAAATATCTATTCTTTTCCTACATTCACAGCTTGGCTATTGCTCACCCTTTCTCCAACATCCTTCCCCCCACCCTTCCCCAATATGTCTTCCTAAAGCGAACCCTCTCAACACTTCTTTCATTCAAACCAAATAAATTGGGATGAACACTGTTCTTTTCTTAGGTAACAGCAAACTGCATGTTTGTTTCGGCAATGACATTCTTTGCACGCGTGAGTGACCCAGCCGTGGGTGGAACGTATATGACTTTGCTTAACACACTGAGTAATCTTGGTGGAGTATGGACCAGCACAACTGCTCTTTGGTTTGTTGATGTTTTAACATGGAAATCTTGTATTGGAACTACTAATACTACTGATGTTAGCTGCAATACAAAACTTGATGAAAAGGTAAAATCTTTGAAAAATAACTTTGTGGAAGCTGGCAAAAAAGCTGACAAAGCAGGTGATAGACATTTGCCAAAAACTGTTTTATGATTCATGTTTATCTTTTTAGTTGTGTATGGATTCTGGTGGAACTTGCATAACAGATATTGATGGATATTATATTGAAACTGTAATATGTGTTTGCATTGGATTTTTATGGTTGAGATGGAAACGAAATACAACAAAAAAACTGCAAGATCAACATCCAAGCACTTGGAAAACATCTTAACAGACCATATTTTAAAACCTTAGAGCTTATAACTGATTTAAATAATAAAATTAGTGTTATACACTTTTATTATGGTTCAATAGGAAACATGATTACTTCAACTTTGATTGGAAAATCATTTCCAGTTACATTTGTCTACTTGCATAGAATTTATCTTATAGTGGATATGCTTTAAAATAAACAATTTCTCTAAGACTATGTCTATTAGGTGTTTATATTTCATTAAATCTTTCCACAGTAAATTTGTTGAATATTTATTTAGTCTTCATCATTCATCAGACTCCCCCTTTCTTAGTTTATCAATAGCTTGAGCAAGCATTTGATTGCAAAGGGCAGCGTATGAATTCATTTCTGCAATTTGTGATTTAGCAAAAGAATTTCCCATTTTCGCACCTTTTTTGAAGTCTTCTAATGCTGCATCGTCGTCACCATTCAGTCTGTGAATCAAAGCTCGTTGTGTGAACGCCTGACCCGCTACATTTCCCTCATAGTGACTTAGTTCAAGAGCCTTATCAAGATCTGAACTTGCAGACTCTTTGTCACCTTAAACCAAAATTGAGTTTAAATATCAGTACGAGTTTACTCTTATTATGCTTCCTCCCAAATTCATGTTGCAATTATGTATTTAGAACCTGGCAACTGTGGCCATGAATGGCTATTGTACACACGAAAAATATCTATTTATTTTTTGATCTTATTATTTCTACTTCCATGAAACATTTTCCAAGTATGGAGGATGTCAATATTTCTTGGAAGAACATGTTTTGATCAACTATGCAGTCTGCTTAATCAATATACGTTTTTCTGAAGATTTAAAGTATATATACCTTTGAGTAACAGCACTTGAGCCCTATTATTGTACACAGATGGTGATTCAGAACAATAATTCTCCGCCTCATTCAACAAGCTCAATGCACTTTCAATATCTCCTTGTTCTGCATGACGCACAGCCATCATTTCCAATTCTTTTGCTTTTATTTCGGCCTCTGTCTCCACGTGGCCATTTTGAATATGTTCTTCTGTTCTCTGGTTTTCGTTCGCTTGAGTTTCATAACCAAATGTTTGGTTTGGATTGAAAATAATTTCAAGTATTCGTTTATCACTCTCTGACAAAGTCGCCATTTTGTGAAGGATATACTTGTGGTAATAAGTTTATGTCCAGTATACACCAATAGTAAAATCGCACTTGTTTTTAGCTGGCATATATACATCAATAGCCATAATTCATCATAGATACCCATCATAACATATCAATATACATCCTTACACGCAACTAGGCATTGCTAGACATCATTGCATATCACTGGACATCATTATACATCAATGGACATCATTATACATCACTGGACATCGCTGGACATCATTATACATCACTAGACATCATTATACATCACTGGACATCGTTATACATCACTGGACATCATTATACATCACTAGACATCATTATACATCACTAGACATCGCTGGACATCATTATACATCACTGGACATCACTAAGCATCAATAGACATCATTATACATCACTAGACATCATTATACATCACTGGACATCGTTATACATCACTGGACATCATTATACATCACTAGACATCATTATACATCACTAGACATCGCTGGACATCATTATACATCACTGGACATCACTAAGCATCAATAGACATCATTATACATCACTAGACATCATTATACATCACTGGACAATTATACATCACTGGACATCATTATACATCACTGGACATCATTATACATCACTGGACATCATTATACATCACTAGACATCACTATACATCACTAGACATCATTATACATCACTAGACATCATTATACATCACTAGACATCATTATACATCACTGGACATCACCAAGCATCAATAGACATCATTATACATCACTGGACATCATTATACATCACTAGACATCATTATACATCACTGGACATCATTATACATCACCTGACATCATTATACATCACTAGACATCATTATACATCACTAGACATCATTATACATCACTAGACATCACTAGACATCATTATACATCATTGGACATCACTAAGCATCACTGGACATCACTAGACATCATTATACATCACCTGACATCATTATACATCACCAAGCATCAATAGACATCATTCTACATCACTAGACATCGCTGGACATCATTATACATCACTGGACATCACTAAGCATCAATAGACATCATTATACATCACTAGACATTGCTGGACATCATTATACATCACTGGACATCATTATACATCACTGGACATCACTAGACATCATTATACATCACTATACATCACTATACATCACTAGACATCATTATACATCACTAGACATCATTATACATCACTAGACATCATTATACATCACTGGACATCACCAAGCATCAATAGACATCATTATACATCACTGGACATCATTATACATCACTAGACATCATTATACATCACTAGACATCACCAAGCATCACTAGACATCATTATACATCACTGGACATCATTATACATCACCTGACATCATTATACATCACTAGACATCATTATACATCACTAGACATCATCAATAGACATCATTATACATCACTAGACATCGCTGGACATCATTATACATCACTGGACATCACTAAGCATCAATAGACATCATTATACATCACTAGACATCGCTGGACATCATTATACATCACTGGACATCATTATACATCACTAGACATCATTATACATCACTAGACATCACTAACATCACTAGACATCACTATACATCACTAGACATCATTATACATCACTAGACATCATTATACATCACTGGACATCACCAAGCATCAATAGACATCATTATACATCACTGGACATCATTATACATCACTAGACATCATTATACATCACTAGACATCATTATACATCACCTGACATCATTATACATCACTAGACATCATTATACATCACTATCACCACAGCATCAATAGACATCATTATACATCACTAGACATCATTATACATCACTGGACATCATTATACATCACTGGACATCATTATACATCACTAGACATCATTATACATCACTAGACATCACTAGACATCATTATACATCATTGGACATCACTAAGCATCACTGGACATCACTAGACATCATTATACATCACCTGACATCATTATACATCACCAAGCATCAATAGACATCATTCTACATCACTAGACATCGCTGGACATCATTATACATCACTGGACATCACTAAGCATCAATAGACATCATATACATCACTAGACATCGCTGGACATCATTATACATCACTGGACATCATTATACATCACTGGACATCACTAGATCTCATTATACATCACTATACATCACTATACATCACTAGACATCATTATACATCACTAGACATCATATTACATCACTAGACATCATTATACATCACTGGACATCACCAAGCATCAATAGACATCATTATACATCACTTCATTATACATCACTACATCATTATACATCACTGGACATCATACATCACCTGACATCATTATACATCACTAAGTATCAATAGACATCATTATACATCATTATACATCACTAGACATCGCTGGACATCATTATACATCACTGGACATCATTATACATCACTAGACATCATTATACATCACTGGACATCGCTGGACATCATTATACATCACTCACACACTCATCATTATAGATCACTAGACATCATTATACATCACTGGACATCATTATACATCACTGGACATCATTATACATCACTAGATATCATTATACATCACTAGACATCACCAAGCATCAATAGACATCACTGGACATCACCAAGCATCGATAGACATCATTCTACATCACTAGACATCATTATGCATCACTCTACATCACCAGCATCATTATACATCACTGGACATCAGTAGACATCATTATGCATCACTGGACATCACTAAGCATCGATAGACATCATTATGCATCACTGGACATCACTAAGCATCAATAGACATCATTGTACATCACTAGACATGATTATCCATCATTGGACATCACTGGACATCACTATATACATCACTAAACGTCACTATACATCATTATCCATCACTGGACATAACTAGACATCACTAGACGTCACTAAGCATCATTATGCATCACTAAACATCACTGAACATCACTGGACATCATTATACATCACTAGACATCACTAGACATATCACTAGACATCATTATCCATCACAAACATCACTAGACATATATCACTAGACATCGCTAGAGATCATTACCATCACTGGACATTACCAGACATCACTTAAAGTGAGCGTAGATCATTACGTTACCAGATCATTTTCGCTGTTATGATGTTGATTCTCAGTAAAGATTCTTCAAATGTTTTTTGTTTCTTTTTGTTTTTTTGAGCTCCAGTTGCATTTGTGGATGCATGGATATCTCGGAAATCACAATTGTTAAGATTAAACGGGCGATTAAATTATTTGAAGAGGCTGTTTGCGAGAGTCCGTCCGGCTCTTTGCTTGTGAGGGAATGGCCCAGCGCTAGGTCTGACAATCTGCCCAATACAGAATGGTATACATCTCCTCCTATCTTGTGTGTGGGACGTGATTTTTAGTCATCCTGACCTTATTTCTCGATTTTCATGTCCATTTTGTTCGGCAACCTGTTTACGAAGATCTGGAAAGTGGGCAGATAAAACATGGGCCAGCTCATCATATGAACCTCGAGTTGTTTATGACACAAATTCTGCGATCCTTCTTGTTTCTCATATTTACCTTTGTTCGTCAAA